CCAAATAAACGCCTTCGCTGTCCTACAGCATGGAAAAGGGGCTCATGGCGGCCGCCCTCCCCTCGTCCACCCGGGGAAATATCACCCCAAAAGTTACACAGCGAGGGGAGGAAACTGCTTTTAGAAATAAACCTGAGCACCACAATGCTGTTGGGGATTCTCTTTCTCCTCCTTTTTTCCTTCCCTCTCGCCCTCGCTAAATGAATTCTACCCAACATCTGTTCACACGCCGTTGTAACGCCACACTACCGAAAACACACACTACCAAACGATGCCAAGGCTTCCTCGAGTAGCAAGCACACAGCTTTTCTGGCTTGGGTAATGCCCTCCAGGTGTAGGAGGAATTACACCGGTCAGTTACAAGTAGGTGCAAGTTACCGGCTTCCCACGCCCCTCGCCAAGGGGAAACGACAAACTTAGGAAGGGAAGAGAAGCGGAAACTTTCTCACCTGTTTGGTCATGGAGTCTATGAGGCGAACGTAGAGGTCCTGCTCTGTCCTGACGCCTGAGGAGGGGAGAGAAACGCCGTCAGAGATCAGCAGCACCCACCCGAGTCACAGCAGGGTCAGGGGCACCCCGAATTAAGCGCTATTCTAGTCTAAATTACAAATACATTTAATAAGGACCCCAAAGGCCAGCGATGGGCCGGTGACCGCGTTCCGGCCCCTCCGGAGGCCCTCTGGAGCACCCCCCGGGCCAGGCTCGCTGCGGGGCGCAGGGGGTAGGCGCAGGGGGCCGCGGTCGCGTAACCCCAGCGGGCCGAGCTCGGGCTCTGCCTGCTCTGCCCGCTCTTCCCAGCCCCGTCGTTCCCATTCATGGCCCAAAAGTGGGACGAAAAATCAAAATAAGAAGTCCCCGAAAAGTGCGGCTCGGCGGGAGCTCCCCCATCGATCCCCTTTTCCTTCCCACTCCAAGCCCGGCCGGTTCATCATGTGAAGTACCATCGACTTATCGATCGGTTCTGGTTTGTTTTCCTTCGGTGCCGCGGTAAAGCGCCGTGTTTACCCGCGTGCAATTTTAATCTCGACAGCTTTACATCCAAAAGGCCTCGGATAAGAAAAGTGAGACTTTGCTGCGGACGTTCGAAACGGAGACAGCGGCCACTTACCGTTGCTATACAATAACTGAAGTTTATAATGAATCCCATTGTTAGTTTTTTCATTGTTTGGCTCCTGCAAGCAACGATAAATAATTACATTTAGCATGGAAAAATATCCCCCTCCTCCTCCTCCTCCTGCCGCGCGTTTTATTTCGCTTTCTCATCCCTGAAGCGGCTCAGAATTAAGAGAGTTGCAGAATATTCGGCCCACGGTCACTTTTTTTGGTGGAGCGGTGATGATGTCATGAGCTCGGTGCGAATATGTCACGCTTAAACCCGGGTTTTCCCGGCGTTAAAACGAGCCGGGGAGTTGCTGAACCCGGGTTTGTTCGGAGCGGCCGCTATAACCCGGGGGGGCAGCGGGAATGAACAGGCATCAATTAACCCGCGCTGAAAGGCTTCGGAAGGGGGGAAAACTGAAGGAGAAATAGGGATAGAGGCGGACTTACTTTCTCTTTCTCCACAAAGTCCACAAAAGCCGTTCGCTCAATCTCCACCGGCTGCCCCTGCCTGTCGTACAGAGCTAAGACGAAGTGGAAAAAATTGGATTTTCTGAGATTGGAAGGCGGCTGTTTCTCGAAATGTGCCCGAGCCAGCCCCACGCCGCTGCGGGAGAAAACAAGACAAGGCGTGGGTGAGAGCGGCGGGAAGGGGCGCGCAAGCTCCGCGCCCGCGGAGAGCGGAGCGGGGAGGCTGTAAGTGCTAACGGGGCGGGCGGGGGTGGGGTGGGGTGGTGGTTGAGGGGGGGAATTTACGGCCGGGATGAGAAATACGGGAGGAGAAAAGCGGCGGGAGAGGGGTTGGCAGCCGTACCTTTGGGCGGCCGTGTTGGCGTCCACCACCCCGGCGGTGTGCATCCAGGAGCGGACCGGGTTCATCCCGCTGCCCAGCGGCTCCTCCTTCATGGTCGTCCCGCCTCGTGGTATATTTTCCTGAATCCCAAACATTAAAACAAATTTGGGCAAACCCCAGCTCCTAACCAAAAGGGGTTAAAACGGAGGGAAATGTCAGATAAACGGGGTGGGTTGGTTGTTGCTTGATTTTTCTCTCTCTCTCCGTGGCGACTTGGGGGTATAAGAGATGACTTTACTCCCTGTGAGCAGTAGGAGAAAAGCCCAGTTCAAGTCTTGCTTCCTTCTTCACTCTGTCCTGTATTGGCACGACATAAACAATTTACTGAGTACTTCTGTGCGGCGACTTGGACGGCGTTCCAGTGCGGTGGGTTCGGAAAAATAACACAAAAAAAAAAGAAAAGGGGGGGGGGAAAGGGGGAAAAAAAAAAAAAAGGGAAAAAAAGTAAGTGCAGCCGCTGACACCGGGGTGGTGGTTTGGGGGGAGGGGGGGAGAAAACCGGGATAAATGTTGTTGTTGTTGTTGTTTGCAGACGCGCTCTCAACGTGGTGGCATCCTAAGGAAAAGCGCGGAGAGGAGGAAAAAAAAATAAATAAAAAATAAAAGAATAAATTTTTTTTTAAAAAAAAAAAAACCGCTTCAGGACACTGCTGAATCGACCACTTTCTGGCAAAGCGCTCCTGCTCCAAAAGACAAATAAACGGGGAGGGAGGCACGGAAAAAAACGCACCCGCTTGATTACCGCGGAGGTGTTCCCGGGCACACGGGAGGAACAGGGGCGCGGGCCCGCGGCGTCTACGCGGAATGGACGGAGGCGCGCAGAGCCCGGCCCTCCCTCCCCGAGGAGCGCGCCCTGCCCCGGGAGCCGGGCCCCCGCCGCCGCGGGAGACGTGGCGTCACTGATGACGTCGCCAGCGGGCGGGATTAGAGCCATATATGGAGTAAAGGGGGGGTTTGAAGGCGGGCGCCGGCGCGCTCCCGACCGGACTTGGGTCGTCCCCCCCCCCCTTCCACATCCCTGAATGGGCTGGGGGGGGACGACCCGGGTCCGGTCGGGAGCGCGCTGTCGGTGTCCCAGTTCTCCTCTTCAAAGCCCTGGACCATCAGTGACCCCCACACCCTCCATGTGCAGGGAGAGGTGACCCCCCTGGAAGGGTGTCTGGGACAGAGGAGTTGAGTTTTGGGGGGCACACACAAAGGGTGCGAGGCGCGCAGCACCCCCTCACGGGCAGGTATAGACATATACACACATAAATATATATATATTTATTACATATATATATCCACGCACGTGGATACGGGTGGGTGAAGTCTTCGTGCGGGTATAGCACAGCTATAAGTCTGCCTTGTCCATATATGTAATATATCTATATATTTATATGCCTATATATCTATATGTCTATCTATCTATCTACCTATACATCTAGATATATGTGTATATATTTATCTACCTACCTATCTACCTACCTATCTATATATATAGATATATGTACATATATATCTCTATCTATATCTAAATACATATCTATAGAAACCTATATATCTAAATACTTATCTATAGATATTAATCTATATATCTAGATATATCGCTCTATATCCGCCTCGAGTGATGCGCTTTTTCCACCCAGCGTGGCTCAATCCCTGCTTTTATTCTCTTATTTTATTATGATTATTACTACTACTACTATTATTATTATTATTATCTGGGAGCTGCCAAAGGTCGGTGCATTCCCGTTGTAATGAAGCCCTGGAAAGCCCAACTCCGTGCCAGGAGGAGACCCCCCGATCCCTTCTCCAAGGGGTAAGGAGGAGAAAGGAAGGAAAAAAAAAGGGAAAAAGATGTGTTAGAAAGCAATCTATTTTGCTGGTGTTGGGGGTTAATGACTATTGCCAAAGATAAGTGAATTATCAAAGCTGTTGCTCTACCCGATCTCAAAATCCATTACATTGCTGGCCGTCTAATTAAATACGTAAGTATAATAAAATCATATTTTATGACTATTTGAGGGTAATGAGATTAGTCTTTAGAAGCGATCGCCACATATTAAAGATGCCACTGTCTATAGAATGTTAATAACCTTAAATCAAAGTGTATGGAAACTAGTCGTGATAAATTAAAAGCAAATTCCGCCTGTTCACAACCAGCCCGCCGCTTTGGAGGTCCAGGATTGCGGATTCCAGCCCCAAACACCTCCACCGCGCAGGAACGAGCAGACCAAAGTTCCCGCACAACGCTTTCGGAGGCGCGCAGACATGTCGGGACCTCCGCCGGGCGCTGCGCACCCCTCCGCGCAACATCCGCCTCCCGTAAACCCGAGGTAAAACAGCCCCGAAACGTTGAAATGAGAAGAGATTTTCCCTCAACAGCCCCAAAACGGTGCCGAAGTCGGGGCTTCCCTCCGCTAACGAATGCTTAAAATCATTTACAGTATCTTTAATTCAGATTACACGCGCCCAGGCGATTTAAATCTGATTACCAAATTAGGAGGTTTTAAAACAAATCCTTTTAAATCTGATACTGTTGACTAAGGAGGGAAAAAAATATAAGAGAAGGGGGTGGGTGGGTGGTGAAAAAAGGAAAGTTCCATAAGCCCATCACATAAGGTAACGATCCTGCCCCAGAAAGAAAGGGAGTTTTAAACCTTTTTGACAACAAATGCAGCTGCCCCGCTATTTTGGACGATATTAAGCGAAAATGAATGCAAATCTGTGTTCAGAAGCCATCTGGCCGGGGACGGGGGAATCAGCTGCTCTTCACAACAGGCTCAGAGGCTGAATCTATTGCAGCTCATTTTCTACATCATCTGGTCCTGCACCCAAAGCGTGGAAAATACGGTCTTTATCATTCACCAACTTTAGGGGGTTTTTTCTCCCCCCCCCCCCCCCCTTTTTTCTTTCTGTCACTCCGCGCCTGGCTCCCGGCAGCCCGCCCGCTCCGCACCCCTTCCGCATCTCTCCGCGCCGGCCGTCCCGCAGGGAAAACCGCCCCCCCCCAACGCCTTTTCTGGGGCTGAGAGCGGAGCAGGGCCCGGTGCGGACGCAACAGCGGGAAGCGGCCGCCGCGGAGCGCTCCGAGGGGGCCCGGCCGCCGCCGCGGCACCTTACGCGGGAGCCGGCGGGAGCGGGGCCGGCGCCGGGCGGGCGGAGGTGGTGGTGAGGGGGGGGACACACACACAGCAGAGCCGGGGCCTCCTCCTCCTCCCTTCTCCTCCCTCCTCCTCCTCCTCCTCCTCCAAGTCTCCCTTTTGTGTGAATTTACGGGGTGAGGCTCCAGTGATCCCCCCGCAAATTTGCATTTAAATAGCGACATCAAGCGACTCGCGTGCCACACGCCACTGGGCTCCCAGATGTCGCGGCCAGGCCGCTCAGATGGCCGCAGCCCAGCTGTCCCGTCCCCGTCCCCCCCCCTCCGCGACATTACCCCCCCCCCCCACACACACACTATCCCCCGGGCCGCGGGACCTCCGCGCCCGCGGTAAATCACGCCTCCCCCTTCCTCCCTCCATGCCGCGCAATGACACCTAATGACACGCTGGGCAGATTTAAACGGATCTCCTCGTCCCCTCGCTGCCGTGGGAGTCTCCTAAACTTTATTATTTTATTTATTATTTTATAACAGCCCCCGAGACTATTAGCGTAATAATAATAATAATAATTATTATTATTTATTCCTCTAATTTCCCATTTCACCCTTAAACCGCAGAACTTCCATCCCGCATTAACCGATCCACATGGGCCGCTGGTCGGGGTTTCCCTTGCCCCGCACACCCCTCAACCCCAGGAGCGGTTCCCGCAGCACAAACTTTCCTAGCGGAAAGTTGCGCAGGGCAAGGCCCGGCCCTGCCCTCCGCCAGCCTCCGCTGCCCGCTGCGCAAGCCCGCGGAGGTTCATAGCCCAGTTTTATCGTTTAGAGACACCGGCACTGCCGCCGCACTCGGTCCCGGGGGGGGTCACTGGTGTCCGGTTGGACCGGACCAACCCTCCCTGCCAGGTTCCCACCGTCCGCGCTGCGGAGCGGACAGAAATCGGTATTTTCGGGGATTTTCAGTGCAGCGATGCTCAGGACCGCGGCCGCGCTGTCCGGTGGGGTTTGGCCGCAGGCGGGTTAAACCCACGGGGGAGGGCGGTCATTACCGCAGAGACGCAAAGCCATGGAAGGCCTGACCCTGATTTGCGCGGGGGGCGCGCAGCCTGCGCGCACGGCGGAGCGGGGGCCGTGCCGAGGCCGAGCCCTCGGCGGGGTTCAGGCGCTGCCGACGAGGTTTCGGGGCTCGCGGCCACCCTCCTGCGCTAGCGAAGGGCCCCGCAACGGGCCCGGTGTGCGGGCGAGTTCCCCCCCGCCGTGTGCTCCGGCCCCGCTCGCCGGCCCCCGCCGCCCGCCCTTCTGTGCTTGAGCCCCGGCTCGGTTCGGTGCTCGAAGGCAAATTCCTGAGCACCCCGGGCCCGGGGAAGGGAAACGAACGGGGACAGCGGTGCGGAACGGACACTGCCCGCCCCGCGGAGCTCCGCGGCCGCGCAGAGCAGGCGGGTCACCCTCTCCGCGCCCCGCCGCGGCTCCTCGAGGGCGGAGCAGGGCGATGAGGGGGTGGAAAGGGGGTGTCTCTTCCCCTGCCCTGAGGCCCCGAGGTCGGCCGCAGGCGCATTTTGCGCTGCCCTGCGCGGCCCGCGGCCAGGCTGCGCGGCGAGGTGGTGCAGGCGCCTCGGAGTAGAGAAACTGCGCGTCGGTGCAGGGGTGTTTTGCTCAAACGGGAGATTGGTCCTGCGCTGCTGCGGGCGGGATTTCACCGTCCGGTGCCCCGATATTGTTAAATCAAGAATTGGTACTCTTTTAAAACATATGTGTATATATATATATATACACACACACACACACATATATATATATATATATAGGGGAAAAAAAGGCTAAAACGTTCCCGGACCCGCATCCAGCCCCGGCAAGAGCCTTCCCTCGGCACGGAGAACCCCCAGCGGCCCCGCACCCGGCTCCCACTTGTCCGACGGCGCGGCCCGGGGCTGCGCTCCCGAAGGGGCTCCGGGAGGCCGCTGCCTCGACCGCCCCTTCCCCTCTCCCCTGGCCCCGTGAGGAGGGACCTGGGGAAGCCTCTGGTCCCCACCGGCCCCGGGCCGCCCCGCGGTGAGGCGCGGAATGGGCGCGGGCGGGCAGCCGGGGAGTTGACGGCCGGACGGGTCCTATGGTGCAGCAAGAACAATATAAACTGAGTCCAACTGAACAAACAAGGATCGATCAGATAATTTCAGATATTATAATTGGCTTTAATTAAACACACTTCGTTCTAATTAACTCTGAAATTTTAGCATGCTTTGGGACGTCGGTGTCTGATTTGATATTGTCAGTCCAGATGTCCTAATAAAATTCAATCCTCCACTCAAGACTTCAATATTCACTAAGAACAAAATGCAAATTAAATGTAAAACCTAAAGTATCGCCAAAGGTATAATCAAGAAAGGTGTCTCCAAACTTCTCACTTTTTATTACGCCGTAGTTAGAAAATGCAGATTACATCCTGACAAGACCTCCGCTGAATAAAATCCACCTTAACTCTTTCAGGGGCCGAGGCGCTGCCCTGCAGGGATCCGCTCGCATCCTCGGCCAGCACAAGGGGGGAAACCCCCGGAGCTGGGGCGGAGAACCTCGGAGAACCGCGGAACGGGGTCCGCCGCCGCACCGCGGAGCGGAACTTCCCGCTGTACCAAGGGCCGCGGAGGGCAGCGGGGGGTTCCGGGCACGGTGCTGCGGGAGGGGGGCACCCGGAGTTCGCCTCCCTCCGGGTGGGACACACACAGAACACCCCCCTCTTGCCCCGCCGTTTCCCTGCAAGCGGCCTTTCGACCGTGGGAGCGGGCGCAAATCACGGCCGAGCCTCACCGGGGGGGGACCCCGCTCTGAGCACCCCGCGGCCGGCGGGGCCGGCGGTTCCCTCGCTCCACATCTGTATGTTTTCCATGCTAATGCAGGCACTTAAAGCTGTTGCTAATTTAACTTTTCCATACATTCTCCCCCCTTTCCAAAAGGCCGCGGCGCGTTGCATTTGCATTTCCTTTAGGATATTGAAATGAAAAGCTGCCGGACGGCGAAGCTGCCCTGGGCATAGCTGGGGGCCGTGCCGAAATAAAACCAGCCAAAGAACACAAGAAAGAAGGACGCAGCCTCCCCTTCCAGACTATTAATAAGCAATTTGTCCCGCCGCTATTTACATTGCAAAGACCGGCGGCCGCCCAACGCTTCCAAAGCGCGGAAATTCCGCGCTGGAGCTGTTTGGGCTCACCCCGCGCCTTAGAATTCCCACTGAATTCCCGAGCGCCCGGCGGAGGAACGCGCCGTGATCCCGGTGAACAACAAGTGCGGGCTCGGATGGTTCCCTCGGCGGGTCCCCGGCTCTGCGCGGGTGCCGTGTGCCATCTACAGGACACTGCGCGGGTGGCCGCGCACCGCCCGCGGGGGAGCACCGGGCTTCTCGCCCCTTGAACTTTCGAACGCCGCGTGGAAACTTTGCGGGTGACAAAAGATGCGGTTTGGAGGCGTGAGGTTCAAGGGGGGGGGGGGAAACGCAAGAGGTGAAACGGGGAGATAATGCGGTTTGATTTGTTAGTCTAACTCCGCGATTTGAGAGTTGATGTCCCCAAAGACCCGGGGAGCTTTCCCCCCCCCCCCCCCTTTATTTATTTTTATTAAAACATCAATCTACTCCGGAGCTGGGTGAACTCAGTTTCACCTAGAGAACATAAAATTCCCCATACCAAGGAAATAAGCACCTTTCATAAATCAGCACTATTCCTGACAGATCGATCAATTTTTGGTTGTTAATCCGAAAGGAGGAGTTTTAATTGCTTCCTGCCTTCCAGCCCGGGCACCTCGCAGCGCCGGCTCCGGCACAAGCCCGGCTCTTCCCCTTCCATGCTCTGCCGAGGGAATAGCCGCCGAGACCCCGCGCAGCGCCGCGTAGAGCAGCGCCCGCCGCGCTACCTGCCCGCCGTCGGCAAGGAACTGCGAGGTAGGAGCCGTGCGGGGTGCTCAGCGGGGCGCGCAGACGCGCGGTGCGGCGCGCACGGCTCGTCCCAGGTAAGCGGGCGCTCCGCCACCCGCCCGCGCTCCTTCCGCGCCACCACCCCCCCACCCCCCCCGCGGACGCGGGCGCTTACCTTGCGCGGCTAATGAAGCCGGGGAGAGGTTTTCCGTGGGAAAAGGGGAGCGTTTATTGAGGACGGGGGGGGGGGGGGGGGAAGGGGGGGGAAAGGGGGGGAGGGGGAAGGCGGCGGGGTGTGCGTGTGCCCTGCGCGCTTTCAGACACCACTTACCCGCTGCGCAGCCTCGCCGAGGCTCTGCGCTGCGCGGCGCGCAGCAGTGCGCAAGCGCCCCCCCCCCCCCCCCCTCCGCGCTGTGCGGGAGGGAGGCGGGAGGAGGAGGGGGGGGAACCCGACACCCCCCCCCCCTCCCCCGATGGGACACCCCGAAAACCCCGGAGGGGAGCTGAAGCAATGGGGGGGGGGGGGGGAAGCCCCGCGGCCGGTTGCGCTGCCGCGGATCGGCGGGTGAGCGACTCTCGGAACGCAACAGTTTGTCCGGCGGGGCCGCAGCCCCCCCTCGCCTCCGGCCGATGCGGGGCAGAAACCGCGTGTTTCGAAAGTACCGGACTGTTGGAGTTCACATCCAACGCTCCCCGCTCCCGGGATGGAGCTTCCAAGAACTTCCCCGCTCCTCGGACATCGGATCTGGAAGCTTGTGTGGCGGGGCAGCGCACAAAGAACCCGGGATAAACCGTGTTTGGGTTATTCCTGCTCTTCCCTTCCTCCCTCTGCCAGCCCAGTCCAGAACTCCTGCAGCGCTGGTAAATCCTCCAGGAGGGGACAACCGCTGCGATAAGCAAGCTCGGTGCTACAGGGATGCTCTCTGGTGATGAGACGTCTTTGTAAGTGATTTAAGTTTACAAGATGTGAAGGTATTTAGGAAGAAAGTAGCAGTTGCCAAGTCAGGCAGGTTCCTGCAGTGAAGTGAAGGCACAGTTTGGGAATGGAGCTCCGTTTCTA